CTTCCATCTTTGTCATTTTCGATGCATTGTATTATAAAGAGATTAAAGTTTAATGATGCAAAATCTGAAAGTTCTAGAGAAGAATGCTTTCCTTAAACCAAATAAAACAAATGTTTTCTTTTCTGTAGTTAGTTGTAGTTTCTTTTGTAGTTGTTATAGTGAGAGTAATGTAGGCTTTGGAGTGAGACATAGATAGGCTTGAGTCTCATCTTTTTGAATCCCAGCTTATTGAACAGTGTTTACCTCAAGGAAGCAATCTTATGTCATCATGCCTCCATTATCTCAGTCCACAAAAATGGGGATAATACTTCCTCTAAAGTAGTGGTGTTGTGAGGATAAAATGAGGTACCTCTTTCGTACTTGGCAGCAGCATTATTCCTGGCACATGCTAAGAGCTCAACAAATGTAATTTCCTTTTTCTTCAGAGGGGAGGGTTATAGAATGATCAGGACTATAGTACCTTTCTGACATTGATGATGCTGTTATTCTGGGAGACTGCAGTGTGCCTACAAGCTTCTATTTGTTCATCATATATTTAGCACCCAATATCTGCAAGGCATTGAGATTGGTAGAGATTTTGTAGTCTTGTTTGGGACAGGAAACAAACACCATGTAGTTAAATGATAATATTAGGTAGTAAAGATACTGAGAGTAAATACATAGGGGTTCTGAGAAGAGGAAGGTCACAATAAGCTGTAGTGGTTAGGCATCCTTCACAGTTATAGCATAACTGCAAACTTGACTACAAGGCAGAATGAAGGAGAAGGGAAACATTCAGGCTTGGAGAGGTCAGGAAAGATCAAAGGCTCAGAGTCTTCCTGGAAGAATTTTTTTTTGTACTGTAATTGACAGTAGCTCCAAGTATGCAGAACAGGGAAATGTTGAGGCAGATCAAAGCTGACTGTATTGATCCAGAGAAAGATGGAGGAAAGCACCCTGAATGTACTATTAACCTGTTTTCCTATTTAGGTCATAAAGAGTAGATCATTTATTGTCTGAATGCTTAGGACTTGAGCTTAAGCCAGAGAGTTGAGCAACCCCTCATTACATGTGCCTTTCTTTTAAAGTTAAGCCGTATAACATATGCTCTCAATTTTCTGAGGTTTCTCCCTTAGAGTTAAATAAAGTGTTCAAGGCCCTACATAATCTTGTATGTACTGATTCCCTTAAATTATCTTAACAGTCTGACTTCATTTCTTGCTACTTGCCCTCCTATCCACTCTGCTCCAGCCATGCTGGCTTCCTTCCATTTCTGGGAGAAATATACCAGACATGCTACCACCTAATAATAGCCTTTATACTTGCTGTTCTGTCTGTAAACCTCTTCCTCCAGATAGCCACATGGCTTGTGCCCTCTGCTCCTTCATGTTTCTATTCAGATGCAGTCTTAGCATGGCGTTCTGTGACAATCATACTTAAAATTGCTTCTCTCCCTCACATATGGGGGTACTTCAGAAAGTTCATGGAAAATAGAATTAAAAGATAATACACATCTTTCTATGAACTTTTTGAAGTACCGTCATATTACCTACCATTCCAGCTGTTTTCTCTCCAAACACTTAGAACCATCTGAAATACTGTGTATTTTAAAAATTTATTTGTTCATGGTTTCTTTTAACCCCTCTAGGACGTAAGTTCCTTGAGGGCAGGGATATTTTTTGTTTTATTCAATGCCATATTTTCAGTGCCTAGTACAAAGTACTCAATAAATATTTGAGGTTAAATGAATAAGGTTTGTCTTTCTTCTGAGCTATAAAACATGAACTTTGGTCACCATAGAGTTTTTTCCCCTTTACTCCACTGAGTAACCAAAATGGAGCCTTTCTAAGAGACCCTCAATTTATTTGGTTAACACAAGTATATACTTTGAAGTATATCAACCTGTAGATGTGTTCACAGTTTTTTCCTTTTTAATCTGGGGTTCATAAACATTAATAAATTTGATTTCAGCATAAGAGAATGGAAAAAAATTTACACTTGAAAGGATCAGTAAAGCTAGTAACTTTTTTGAATTAGTGAGAGGGAGGGAGAGGTTTGGAGAAGGAGAATCAATATATATCTTACAAGAAAGTAACACAGAATAAGAATTAGTTCCTCGAGGCAAAATGTGATGGGAAACGATTGGGAGATTTTGAGGGATATGATTAAACATTTTAGGAATTTGATTTTACTGTCATTAGGATAGTTTAAAGGGAAGAAAAGTCAAAATCTTGAGGACATTTATGAAGAGAAATTTAGTATATTTGAAGTTTGAAATAATCTGAACAAAAACATTGAAGAAGAAATGGCCAAACTAGGAGAATTTGAGAAAAAGCAGTCATGAGAAGCTGTTCCGGTTATAGGGTATAAAAGGAAGGCAATATCAGGTCAAACATGGCTTCAAGGTTGTATTTTTAGGGGATGGAAGAGTAAATTTTGAAGTACCATCTTGGCATTATCATTGCTTTAGGATAAGGAATACGAATAGTAATTCACTCTCAGGTCCATCCCTAGAAAGAGACTGAATAATAAATGAAGTGACAAATTTTTGCTTGTGGGATGCTTTTGAAATAAGGTTTCTTTCCTACAGTTGCCTAATTGGTTGGGGGGTAGTGTTAGAAATACCGAAATGATTTGGGGGAAGAAAAGTTAGATGTGTAAAGATACTTCTTTCAGAAATTTGAGGGCCTTTAGTTTCTTGGAGTTGCTGTTTTGGGGTGGAGTTTTCATCTCTAACTTAGCCTCAGGGCTACATTTTACTTCTGCTGTTAGGCGACAATTGTCATAGGCATTTGGGGAAAATTTTAACAAATGGTGTGTGGAGTGGCAAGCAAATCGCTTTGCTTTTTAGGTATGTTATACTTTCAGGTATCTTAGCCTACTAGACAAGAAACTGAAATCTAGAAGGATATAAAGGGCAAACATTGTTTTTCAACAGAATTGTTGTTCTCCTCTAGCTTTCCCTGTTATCCTATTTGTCTCCTCTCCCAGTTGCTCAGAACATACCCTTCTCTACCTTCCTACGTAATTTAATACTTTTGCTTCAGTGTTAATACACAAAGTAGAATAAAGAAGATTGGATTTAGCCTAGATAGCACAGCCAGCACTTTTCAAGCACTACTGTATGTCCAATACTGTGCTTGGCTCTGGGCATACAAACATAAGTAATGCATGGTCCCCGACATGAGGAATTCATATCAGAGCAGTCTGGTGGTAGAACATCTACAATTCACAGTTCTGCTTTTGCAGAGATACAGTAAGTACTGGTTTTCCATTTGGTACTCTTGACAAAAATTAATTTTGTATATAATCAAAAAAGTAATGCTACCATGGCTTTTCTTTGTAGACATTAGGATCTATTTTTAGAAATGCATGTGTTTATATTTTTAAGAATTGTTCTTATAAAAAGCAAATAAAATGCTTGTTTTTTGGTATTGTTTGGCCAATTTATTGTAAGCCGACTGGCAAAGCATTTTTTTGCTAGTATATGGAGCTAATTATAGTTTTATTTAAAATGTTCAAATTTTACATTAAAAGTTAATGTTACTTTTTTATTTAAAAAAATTTTTATTTAGCATATTAATTGTTACAAATCATACTTATTCTTTATGCCCCTTATTCAATCTCTCCCTTTTCCCTCTGCCACCCTCCTTCCCCCCTCCCCAAAAGTTAACGTTACTTAAAAAGTATCTTTTTCATTCACATGTTCTGATTCTCAACATTTTAGTCTTTAAACTATATTATTTCTTCTCCTTATTTCCCTTTTCAATACTTATGATTTTCTGTCTTTCAGAAATTTTTCTTTCCCAGCATTAAAACCTTTTTGTTGTATGGAGAAGTGTTGTCTAAAAATCTATTAGCAAAATCTCTTTTAATGATAACAAGATACATATTTTCTTTGCTTTTTTATTGTACCTTGTTAAAGTGGTCTCATATGAACTTTCTTAGAATCAGGCAGTTCCTGGTTCCAATGGGACTTCCTGTTTTCCCAAGTAAAAATAGAAAAGCGTCTCAGAAAGGAAACCTGGTCAGTGTGAACTACTTTGTAAGATCAGTTAGTCTTAGTTGTGACCTGGATTATGCAGATATATAATCTGTATAAAATATATAAAAGTTTTCAGGTATCTGAAGCTTTGAATATTTTTGCATGTAATGATAAAAGAGATAAGGAGAAGGTTCTGAATAATAAACATGAGAGATGCTTTATTCAGTCATAAACTTGTTTGTATCTTCTTTTTTGAGGGGTGTAGAGAAGATGGATGGAAAATGGTGAATCCTTTCCTTATAAAGTAATATTTTATTAGAAATTTGGAGAAGTTTAATACTGAGTCTTAATTCTTATGTACTTTGATCTATATTTGCTTTCTTGCCACTTTTTTTCAGATGTTAGGAAGGTGGGTTTTTTTTTTTTAAGTCATTAACAGTCAGAATTCTAAATGAATTTTTCGGTTTTTAATCATCTTTTAGATTTCCTCAAGTAGTTAACAGCTTTTAGTCTATATTTTGAAGAGAAACCAAGTTAAGGTAGAAACAAATGATAGACTCATTAACAGTAATAATAATGGGAAGTATGTATTAAGTGCATATTAAGTGCTTGACACTGTGCCACACTTTTTTTATGGTTCATCTTATTTAATCCTGACGACAACTACATAAGGCAGGTATCATTGTTATCCCTTCTTTAGAGGGATAGAAGAAAAAACTATACTTATAGTGGCTAGGTAGATGTTAGTTCAAGGAAACATTGCTAATAAGTAGAGGACCTGGGACTTGAACTCAGCCCCTTTGATATCAGAGCACCTATTCTCAATGAATATGTAGGAAACCACAAATTCAAAGTGTAGTATGTGAGAAAAATAACTTCCCCAACCTGTAGTATTGTTAGTTTGTTCAGATTTTGTTTACATATTTACATTCAGTTTTAGCAAAGTATATGCTGGCATTTTAGCAGGCTTGTTTAAGGGGGGGTTCTTATTCTTAAGTAATGCTAACAGTTCTCTCTTTTTTTCTTTCCTTGATAGTAAAAAGCCCCTTTGATGAAACATTTGGAAAAATACAAGTAAGTAAAAGATTGTAATACTAATACTTTGTGTCATGTTTTATATGATAAAAGTATTAGGATGACTATCAACTAAAAAAAAATAGTAATTGTTAAGGTTCTTTTAATCTGAAACAATATATTTTCTTATTCTGATTATTTCGTAAGTATATCATAAGTAAATCTGATGCACATTTTCTCCTAAGACCTGAACTGTTTATCACTTTAATGTAGAGGTCAACTACCAAGTAAACTGGAAGTAGCATGCCATCTGTGGATCTGGTCGTACACTTAAAAGTATGCCTGTTGTCTTAAATTATTGAATACCTTTGCAGTTTTTGTCCTTTTTGTCTTCATCTTGACTCTTTGGATATTTTGCACATTGGCATGCCTATTCAACCATCAGGAAAACAAAGATTGGAGAAAGGAAACGTATCCCTTGGGCTACCTATTTAAGATTGCTTTTCTTTTTAGAGGATACTGTAATATTAATTTTAACCAAAATTTTACTTTCATGAAAATGTATTTTATGTACCATTGTTACAGGCACATCACAGATTAAGATATTTAAGCTTATAGTATAATATACAATTAGTTAACGTTTTTATTATAAGAATTGACAGTTATATGGACCTATATAGAAAACATTATTTGTTGTACCGAAGGATGTGTGTAATGTGTAATCAGATCCACAGCCTATTATTTTAGATGGTTAGAGTGGAACTTTGAGATGATTATATTGAGTAGTATTCTATTGTGACGATATTTGTTTACAACAAAGTTGACTTTATCATTTGCAACAATAAGTATAGTGCTGCTACAGCATCATAATGTAAATTAGTACAGTATACTCACTGAACATTGGAAATACAAGATTATTTTCTTCTGTATAATTTTCCCCATGGGGGAAACTGAAGTTCTTAACCTCTAAGTAATTGTAATAATGATAATGAAGATAATGGCAGTTTACTTACATTAAGTGCTTACTCTGTGCTAGGCACCATGCTAAGTGTTTAAAATTCATTATCATTAAATCAAAGACGTGATACAGACAGTTAAAAATGTGCTCGAGAGAAATTAAGGATAAATGAGGGAAATACGTGTTGGTGAATGATAATCTGGACTGTACTAATTACAGTTAGAAGGTAGCTAATTCGAATTGTAAAATTATTTTTGTTCAGTGAAAGGTTACTTGAAAGCTTACTTTAAAACTGTATTTATTTTTACATCTTTAACTAGTTTGCAGGCTGATAAGGAAAGCCCATAGTTACATTCATTTCAAGCTGAAATGTTAGGAGACAATCTGAAAAGCTGTGAGAATGGAAGAAGGGTGTAATAAAACTATAAATCAGTAAGAAAATAACTTTGAAAATTATTTGCATACTTTTCAGATTTCTGCTAGGTTAGTGTTAGTGGTTTTAAAGATAACTGAACCCAGAGCCTTTATATTTCTTTCTCAAAATTTGTTTGCTTAATAACATATATCATAAAAACCTTCTTAGATCATAATTTGGATGGTCATTTGGATGACACATGAGGCCCTCATAGTGGTCATTTTGAGTAAGTTTTTTTGGAAAAATAATTCTTGAAGAAAATTATAATTGAGCTTTTTGGGTGCTTAATTTCTTTGTATGAGCATGTAACAGTATTTAGGTTATCCAGTGTGAGATCCAGTTCCATCTGACTAAGTTTTGCTACTTCTTCTAGTTAGCTAGTCCAGAGTTAATATCTGTGAATCAAAAGATGAAGTTTATTCCCAGGTCTCTTATGATCATTAAAGATGTAATTACAGAGGATAGGTGCCAAATGTTCAGATTTTGTTTTGTTTTCAAAAGTGGAGTTGGGGTGGGCGTGATCAGGACCTGTAAAACAAAAACAAAATCACTCTTTTCCAGATAAAAGAAACAAACTTCAAAAATTTTTAATATTTTAATCCTAAAGCTTAATCAGAATCACCTTTGTTTTATGTATCAAGTCCATAAGCTACACTATCATTGGAACTCCTGCTTATCCTATTGTGTTGAATGTATTTATTAAAAATGATTTTGTGGTTTAATGTATCACAATTGTATAGCTCTCAGAATACTGGGTTTCAGCCTCTACTCTTACTTTTTGATATCTAATTTTTGCAGTTTGGATTTTTATTCTTACATGAAGATAAGTACTGGCTTGATTCAGAATCTGGTTGAGATAGTTTGAGCCAAAAAAAAAAAAAAAGAAAGTGAAAGTGTTGGGAGGCAAATAGTCAACTAAAAGAATAAGTCACTTTATCAACCATTCGACATAAAATCAGGGAATCTGGTGGTGGAAGTCTTTTTTCTTTTTCCTAGTGTCACTGATTAAAGCTGCATTGATGAAAGGATGTCACCCATGGTGTGCAAACTTGTTCTCTTCTGTTCCTGAACATATAGCATGAAAACCAATGGATGAGGTTGCATGTCATTAGACATATAAATGTTACTTTCCCAGCCTTTTATATCCTGCCAGAATTTGCTTCCTGGTCATATTCTTGTGGTAATCCTACATGAATTAGACACTTCAGGAAGAAAGGAAATAATAAAGACACAGCTCCCTGGTGAATCATGAATTTATTTCAGATGTTGTGATAAGTTATTAACCCCTCTTCTAACCAACCCTTCCTCATCGCTTTTATCAGTCCCTCTTAATTCTGATTGCTTTTAAATTGGGGGTCTCATTGCTTTAGACTACTTGGCAGGTTGCTTAGACTATACCATTGCAATAATTCCCTGTCTGGACTTCTTTCATGCATTTATTTCTGCTTCCAGGCTATCCTGTACATTCCGGTCAGGGTAATATTCCTGACACACACAAGTCTTTTACTCTTTTCTTAAATTTTCAGAATGAGGTCAAGCTCTTTGCCTTTGTATCTAGGGCTCTCTGGCAGTTAATTCCAAACTACTTTTCCATTAGTTTGCTGAGTAGGCTACTGATTATGTAAGATATATAACTCATGCTCTCATGCCTCGGTGCCTTTGCTTATGCTGTTCCTTTTGCCCAGAATGCTGATCAGTTCTCTTCTTCCTGTGAAACCCAACTCAAATATTCTGTTTCATGGATCTTCCTTCCACCTTCCCCTTCTGTATTCACATCATATTTTGCACCTGTAATATAACACTTAATATGTTTTTGTCCTTGAGAACAGGAACGATCCTGTTCACTGGGTCTCTCTCATTGCTAAGAGAACAGATCTTAACTCCTAGTAGATATTCATTGAATGTTTGTTTCACTTCAATGGTGTATATATAAGTTTGTACAGGGCCACCTTGGGAGGCTAGGAGAGGATGAGTGTCAACTGAAGTGCCAGTACACCTTCCCTTAGTTTTATGTGGCAGAGTCAGGTTAAAACAAAACATGAAGGGCAGCTTTGATGAAGAAAACTGTCCTAAGAACAGTATATATATATATAAGCATTCACTGTATAGAGGGGGATGGGGAGCATTGCTTTGGTGGTTGGGGGAGCTTATTGTGTATGAGACCTTTTTATCACTAACTTTAGTGCCAATTTCTTGATCATCCTCAAGAAAATAAAATATTAGAGTGACAATTTAGACTTCAATTAAGGTTATTTAAAATATGGTGGCTATTTAAATATGAATTTATCTTTCAGATTATGTAGCTTTTATGATTTTAAATTTATTTACTACTTTTATTTTTGAATAAGTATTATTTGGCACATTTTTTTCTTGGAATTGGATATTTCATGATAACTTCTTTTAATTTTAGGAAAGTAAAAAAAATCTTATGATGAGCACATTATATAAGCTTCATGATCGATTGGCACAGCTTGCAGGTAATTGTTTTATCGTTCATAGTCTAAAAAATGTTTTGAAAAATTAATTTGCATTATGAAAAATTAATTGGCATTAATGTAACATGTTGTATCAGTAGAAATGGTTTTTCCCAAGTCTGGTGTTATGTTATATGAGGGTACTTCAGAAGTTCATGGAAAAATAGAATTAAAAGATAAGAAAAATCTATGAACTTTTTGAAGACCCTTGTATTTGTGGAATATTTTTCTTTAGAAGTTTTTTTTTTTTTTTTTTTAAATAAAAGAGATTTATTTGGCTAATGATTATATGGGCTGGATAGAAGTTTTTATTATATATAAAGAGTGGTTTTTGATTATTTTTGTGGCGGGGGGGAACAGCTGGCCATTATGGGGATCTGAACTCTTGACCTTGGTTGTCTTTTGTTTTTTATAGATATATTTAATTAAGGCCTTTTTCCTATGTGCCATATGTTTTAGATCTAATAGATATTTATATTATGAAATAAAATTTTAAAGTCAAATTTTTTTATTGTATTAATAGTAACAAAAATTCTCAAAGCTTAAATATCAGTTCAGTTGGAGAAGCAATGAATTAACTGAAATCTTGGATTAAATATAAAAATGCAGATTTTCTTTTGGTGGTTGTATAGGTATTATTTATTCCCTTAGAGAAAGTAAATATACTCCTAAAGTTTTCTTTCCTGGTTCATTGCATTATTCTCAAATTATGCACATAGAACATCTTTGAGAACTCTCAGGCATCAACACATCTGCAATTAGAATAATTTAAACAACAAAAGGACAATTTATTATAGATGAATTTGTATCAAGTTTAGCATCTATAAGCTGCATTAGCAGCTTGTATGTTTATTACCTTTTAATTTTTTTTTACTTATTCTTATTTTACATATCTGAAAGAAGAAACTTTGAGTTCTCGTATAAGCATTTACACGAAAAGAAAGATATAGTTTTTCAAAGTTTTCTAGGTAGTAGATTCTTTTGTAGAAACCAGATCATTTATAGAAGCCTAGTAGAAAAATGTGGAATTTCTCTGAATTAAAATATATTTTAATTCTATATTAAAATATAGAATTTTAATAGCTATATTCCTAAAATGCAGAGGTATTTAGGATCCGAACAGTTCCCCATGCTCTCACTTAATCTTTATTTTTTTCTTTGGGTCCTTAGTTCTGGCTAGTTTTTTATTTTTTAGGCTTGTAATTCTGTGTATATCACTAAAAGCCTTCTTTGCATTGACTGTCATTCATATACTGCAAGCTAATGACAGTTACTTGATATGCTGTAGTACCCGGGAAAAGGTTAAGAAGATATTCTCTAGCTAGAAATTCCTGATGTTGCTAATATAAGCATCTACAGCTATCTCTTCAGCATTGTTATATGAAGTGTGGTCCATGGCCCACTAGATTAATATAATCTGGGGTGCTTTTAAAGATACAGATTCCTTTCTTTAGAGCAGGTGTCAGCAAGCATTTTTCTGTGAAGGGCCAGATAGTAAATATTTTAGGCTTTGTGGCTAGACCGCCTCTTTCACAACTACTCACTTCTGCTGTTAAAACATGAAAGCAGCCATAAATACTACATAAACAAGTGAGCTTGGCTGTATTCCAATAAAACTTCATTTATAAAAACCAGCAGAAGACCAGATTTGGCCCATGGGCCGTAGTTTGCCAACTTCTGCTCTAGATCTATGAGATCTGAATCTCTGAGGATGCGCTATAAAGTTTGAAAACTTGTTCATCTAATAGGTATTTCTTCCCTTTCTCTGACTACTACCATTAAAATCTGACTACATGAATAAAACTGATAAATGAGAACATGATTACTTTTATTATAGAAAAATTTGCCAAGAATTTTGCTTTAATTGTACTTTCACGTTAAATATCTTTTTATATCTACTTGAGAGAAATAGGGCAGGAAAAACTTAGAATTGGAGTTCAATATGAGGATAGTTCAGCTCTAATAACTATGTATAGCCTAAAGAAGAAGCTTTGAATTCTCTTCTTATAAACAGAAAAATACAACAAAAGAAAAATATAGTTTTCCAAACTTTGGTATGTAGCAAATCCCTTTGTAGAAACCATATCATAGGTAAACTTCTACCTAATTTCCCTGTTGATGTATTATAAAATTTTTTAAGGCACACGCACCCCTTGCTAAAGATAGGCCTAATTATACTCTGAAAATGGACATAATTTTAATTCAGTAATAAATCCAAACTTATTTGAACCCATGAATTATTAGCTGTAAAAATGGATGAGTAAGTTAGCACAATGAATTTGCTGATTTTTTTCCCCTTTGGGAATAATACATATCTGTGGTGGGCTTCCTTTATACCAAGATCTATGGGTAGGCATCAGTGTGACGTGGTTCCTACTCTGGCTTACAATTTTCTTGGGAATATAAGAGGAAGATATGTTCCCATCTAGACTGAAATGCCTTTAAAGGTTACATTTTATTTAAGCGTAGTTGTTTGTTTATATTAGTTACTGGATTTTTTTTACAGGAAAATGTAAGTAATATTTTTCTTTACTGATTATACTGACATAACCTATAGTTGCATAATTTGTAAAATATTTTGAATTAATCGTATTTGTTTTTTTCTGTACTGATTCAAAATTAATAATGTGCTAATCTTTCCAGGAGATCATGAATGTGGCAGTTCTACTCAAAGAATGCTTTCTGTCCAAGAGGCAGCTGCATATCTAAAAGTAAGCAGCAAAATTAGAATTTTAATAGCTATATTCCTAAAATGCAGATAAATTGTTACTACTTGTATCAAAAGTACCATGCATTTGACTACTTTAGTTATACTGTTAACCTGCTGTTTGGTGTAATGCGAGCAGATAAGAGAAAGTGGAATTGCTTAACATTTTTTGTTTTAGTTTGTTTTAGAACATTTTCTAGGAGAGAATGCACATTAATTTGGAAAGAGTACAAAAAACATTGGTAAGAGGGAAATTGAGATAGGTGAGTAGCATGTGAGAAAGCTGGTAAGCATCCCCAGAACAATTTCATTGCACGGTCCTAAGAGAACTTGCAAATGAATTTTCTAAACTACTGTAGATAATATTTGGAAAAACCTAGATGAAAGGTACTTGAAGGTTAAAGATGGACTAGTGTCATTCTGATTTATAAAAAGGGAAAATTGGAATTTGGAAGCCATACTGGAAAGCTTGATGTTAGTCACATTCCATAAATATAATTTCATAAAGATGTGAGTACTTGGAAATGGAAATGTTGATCTCTAGAGGCTGGCTGGCATGGTGTCAGTGTGAACAAGTCATGCAAACTTCATCCCCCCACTGGCTCTTTTTTTTTTTTTTAAATTGTGGCAAAAAGCACGTAACTTGAAATCTACCCTATTATATTAACACATTTTTAAGTGTACAGTACAGTATTGTTAAGTATATGTGCATTATTGTATAGCAGATTTCTAGAACTTTTTCATCTTGCATGACTGAAACTCTATGCCCATTGTACAGCAGCTCCCCATTTTCCCCTCCCCCAAACCCCTGGCAACCATCTTTCTACTTTCTGCTTTTGTCAGTTGGACTACTTTAGATACAGCAGTCCCCCTTGTCCTTGGTTTCACTTATGTGCAGTTAACTGTGGTCCAAAAATGTTAAATGGAATATTTCAGAAATAATCAATTCATAAGTTTTAAATTGTGTGCCACTCCTGAGTAGCACGATGAAATCTTGCTCCATCCCTCCCAGGATGTGAATCTTCCCTTTGTCCAGCATGTCCATGATGTATGTGCTACCTGCCCATTTAGTCAGTTAGCCATCTCAGTTATCAGATCTACTGTTGTGGTATCGTAGTGATTGTGTTCAAGTTACTTAATAATGGCCCAAAGGACAAGAGTACTGATGCTGGCATATTGTTATAATTGTTTTATTATTTGTTAATCTCTTACTGTGTCTAATTTATAAATTAAACTTTATCATAGGTATGTATGTATAGGAAAAAACATAGTATGTATAGGGTTCATTACTATACATGGTTTCGGGCATCCACTGGGGGTCGTGGAATATCATGAGGTACTACTGTACCTTACATAAGTGGAATCATTCAGTATTTGTTCTTCAGTGACTAGCTTATTTTATCTAGCATAATGTCTTCAAGTTTTATTCATATTGTATCATATGACATTACTGTTTTTTTAAGATTGAGTAATATTCCATTGTATGTATAATTGTTCCTCAGTGTTCACAGTGGATTGGTTCCAGGACCCCCCGGCCCCACCCCAAACCAAAATCCATGGATTCTCAAGTTTCTCATATAAAATGGCATATTTGCATGTAATCTACATGTATCCCTATGTATACTTCAAGTCATCACTAGGTTACTTATAATACCTAATACGATATAAATGCTATGTAAGTAGTTGTTATACCATATTGTTTGTTTGTATTATTGTTGTATTGTTATTTATTTTTAAAAAAAAATGTTTTCCATCTGCAGTTGGTTTAATCCATGGATGTGGAACCCACAGATATGGAGGGTCTACTGTATATACACATTTTCTTTATTCAGTCACCTGTCAATGGACTTTTAGGTTGTTTTCGCCTCTTTACCATTGTGAATAATGCTTTTGATTCTTTTGGATAAATACCCACAAGTGGGATTGCTGAATTATATGGTCGTTCTATTTTTAATTTTTTCGAGGAACCTATCTGTACTGTTTTCCATAGTGGCTGCACCATTTTACATTTCCATGAACAGTGTACAAGAGTTTCAGTTTCTCCGCATACTCAACACTTGTCATTTTCTGTTTTTTTGAGATAATAGCTACCCTAACAGGTGTGAAGTGATATCTCAGTGTAGTTTTGACTTGTGTTTCCCTGATTAGTGATGATGAGCATGTTTTCATATACCATTTTTATATTCCATGTACATCTGTATATGCATGTACTGTACCATGTTGGTCATTTGCATATCTTCTTTGGAGAAATACTGTTCAGATCCTCTGCCCATTTTTTAATCATGTTTTTTGTTTTGTTATTGAGTTGCAGGAGTTTCTTATATAATTTATATATTAGCTCTTATCAGATATATGGTTTGCAAATATTTTCTTCAATTTGTAGGTTGTCTTATGCCAATTGTTTGCTTTGCTGTGCAGAAACTTTTGAGTTTGCCAAGACCAGTTTCATGAGGTCTCTCCCTATATTTTCTTCAAGGAATTTTATAGCTTCAGGTCTTAATTTAAATTTTTAGTTTATTTTGAGTTGATATTTGTGTATGGCACAAGATGAGGGTTCAATTTCTTTTGCATATGGAAATCCAGTTTTCCCAGCACCATTTATTGAAGAGAGTTTCCTTTCCTTATTATGTAGTCTTGGCACCCTTGTTGAAGATCATTTGATCATACATCAGTGGGTTTATTTCTGGGATCTACATTCTGTTCTGTTGGTCTATATGTTTGTCTTTGTGCCAGTCCCATACCATTTTGATTATTGTAGTTTTGTTGTATGTTTTGAAGTCAGGAAATTTAAAGTCTCCAGCTTTGTTCTTCTTTTGCAAGATTGTTTTGGCTGTTTGGGGTCCTTTGTGGTTCCCTATAAATTTTAGGATTTTTTTCTGTTTTTGTGAAAAATATCATTGGGATTTTGATAGGGATTGTGTTGAATCTGTATTGGGTAGTAAAGACATTTTAGCAATATTAAATCTTCCAATTTGTGCACACAGCATAAGTTTCTATTTTTGTGTGTCCTCTTTCATTTTTTCAGCATTGTTTTGTAGTTTTCAGTGTACAAGTCTTCCACCTCCTTGGTTAAACTTATTGCTAAGTATTTTATTCTTTTTGATACTGTTGTAAATGGGATTGTTTTTTAATTTCCTTTTTAGATTGTTGTTAGTGTATAGAAATGCAACTGATTTTTGTATCCTGCAACTTTGCTGAATTTGTTTATCCTAACAGGTTTTTGGTGGAATCTTTAGGATTTTCTATGAAAAGGATTATGTCATCTGTGAAGAGATAAATTTTCTTCTTCCTTTTCTTTTTGGATGCCTTTTATTTCTTGCCCAATTGCTTTGGGTGGGACTTCCTTGCCTTCTTCCTGATATTGGAGAAAAAGCTTTCAGTTGTTCACCATTGAGTATGATGTCAGCTGAGGGGTTTCTGTGTGTCTTTTATTTACTATGTTGCAGTAATTTTTTTCTATTCCTAGTTTGTTGTGTTTTTGTTATGAAAGTGTGTTGAATTTTGTGAAGTACTTTTTCTACATCATTGAGGTGATCATGTGATTTTTATCCTTTGTTCTGTTAATGTGGTATAATCACATTGATATGTTGAACCATCCTCGCGTCCAGGGTTGTGGTGTATGATCCTTTTGAAGTTCCCTTGAATTTGGTTTGTTAGTATTTTGTTAAGGATTTTTGTGTCTCTATTCATCAGGGATATTTGTCTGTAGTTTTCTTGTATTATCTTTGTCTGGCTTTGGTAACAAAGTAATGCTGGCTTCATAAAATGCATTTAGAAGTGTTTTCTCCTCTTCAGTTTTTTGGAAACTTTTGAGAAGGATTGACATTAATTACTTTTTAATAAAATAAATAAAATCAGAATCTGATTTTTTCCCCTTAGTCTAGCTAAGGTTTGTCAATTTCACTGATTTTTTTTTTTTTTGTAAAAACCAACTCTTAGTTTTGTTTTTTTGTTTTTCTACTCTCCATTTCATTTATTTCATACAATAATCTTTATTTTTTCCTTTCTTCTGCTAAATATGGGCTTAACTTGTTCTTTTTCTAATTCTTTGAGGTCTAAAATTAGCTTGTTCATTTTGAGATCTTTCTTCATTTTTAATGTTGACTTTTACTACTGTAAACTTACCTCTTACTATTGCTTTTACTGCATTCCATAAATTTTGTTATGTTGTGTTTTTTATTTTATTTGTCTCAAGAAATTTTCTGTTTTCCCTCTTGATTTCTTTGACTTTTGGTTGTTCAGGAACGTGTTCTTTAATTTAAACATATTTGCGAATTTTCTAGTTTTCCTTCTACTCTTGATTTCTAGTTTTATTGTATTCTAAAAAGATATTTGATATTTCAGTCTTCTTGAATGTGTTAAGATTTGCTTTGTGGCCTAACACATGATCCAGCCTGGAGAATGCTTCATGTGCACTTGGTAAGAATGTGTATTCTGCTCTTGTTGGGTGGAATGTTCTGTATATGTCTGTTAGGTCTGTTGGGTCAATAGGGTTTTTCAAGTCCTCTGTTTCCTTATTGATCTTCTATCTGGGTGCTCTGTCTATTACTGAAAGTGGAGTAATGAAATATTGCACTATTTTTGTGTTGTAGTTTTTCTCCCTTCAGTTCTGTCATTGTTTGCTTCATATATTTGGGTGCTCTGATGTGGGGTACATATATAATTGTTATATTTTACAGGTAATTTGACCCTTTTATTGTTATATAGTGTTTGTCCTTGTCTTATGTCAAAGTTTTTGACTGTCTATTTTTGTCTGATACAAGTATGGCCTTCCCTACCCTTTTTTTAGTTACTGTTTCATGGAGAATAATTTTCCATTTTTTCACTTTTTGTGTATGTGTGTCCTTAAATCTAATATGAGTTTATTGTTCTCAGAATATAGTTGGAACTTATTTTTTTATTCTTTCAACCATTTAATGTGTTTTGATTGTAGAGTTTAATCCATTTACATTTAAAGTGATTACTGATAAGTATCTGAATTTGAGCTAACAGTATAATGCCCAC